TCCACCGGTAGCTGGACTTCAGTCCAGAGTTTCTGATTCTGGGGTCTGGGATGAGGCTTAAAAGTTATTAGGAGATGGTGATGCTACTGCGAGAGTCACTGATGTAAGAGAGTATCCTCGTTTCAGGAAAAAAACAAACTCATCAGGGGAAATGAGACTTACTCTCAATGGTTCAGGAAAAGAATGGTTCTTTGTAATGTACTTGCAAGTTTTCTTTACTTTTGAAATGTTTCAGTAAACAAACAACCTCACCAATTCCAGAGCTATCAAATCAGAATTTAGGATAACTGGGCAGGGAGGAAGCTATGGTGGAGCAGTGCCCAGTACACCCCTTCCTAATCAATAGTGCAAAGTAAAGCAAATAAGACAGGAAGGGGGCTACTCCAGGCACTTAAGAGAACCAAATGTTTTCAAGTTCTTAAAAACATTTGTTGACAATGAATATGCAAAACCTTCCATCTCTAAACACTAGAGTAGTTGTCCTTTATTAAAAACCCCTTTGAGTCTTCAATGGCTTTTTCCCTCCATAACTCCAAACTTCTCTTTGTCCATTTTACCACGACCTCAAGCTCTGTATTTAAATTAGGAAACACATCCAATGAAAGATCTAAACACATCTGATCCCTTTCCTAAAAATCATCTGATACCATCTTACAAGATTAGGCAAGAAAATAAAATCCATCCATTGGATTTAATCCACTGAATACTTTGCAATTCCATACCTTTCCAAAAGGTTTGCTGCATCCTCCTTGTACCAGTCATGTGATCCAAAGCAACTTTCCTATCTTCTCTCTAGCTCCATTTCCCCATCAGCAAAATAAGGATAATAAGAGCACCTGTGCCTTATAGGAGTGTTAGGAGGACTAAATAAATGTAATGGACTTAGACTGAATCTGGCACATTGTAAATCCTTGATAAATGTCATATGCTGTTATTGTTTCAATTTTAGCCACATAATTGGATTTGATAACGGCCACACCTACCACTCTCCCTTTACCACTTTATATGTGAAGCTGGAAGGCCTCTAGACTAAAATTCAGCAAATTTGCATAGAAACCAGAGTTTCCTTGGAGAAAAGATACCAAGATGTTGACCCATATTTCTATTGAGGTTCAATGTTTTCAGACCATCTTTGGTGATTCTCACGACTATGGTGGCAGGAGCTTGGGCCCCCATGTGGAGTCTGGGGTTTGAGTCTAGGTTCTATCAGCTACTGTCTCACCTTTAGCAAGTTTCTTAACCTATGTGTACCTCAGTTTCCCTCTTTGTAAAATGGGAGAGACGATAATATCTACTTCAGAACATTGTTGGGAAGGCAAAGGAGACCATTTATACCAAGCAGTTGTTACAGTGCTTGACATATACTAAACAGTAAAGCTTCTGGGTCCAAGGTGTGGCCATATGACTAGCTATAGTCAGTGACATGACGTGTGTCACTTCTTCAGTGGAGGAAAACTGTTTTTCCCTACCCTCTTATGTTCAGTACCTGATGCCTGCTGCAAGTTAAACTGACAAAAGATAAGAGCTACACAAAAAAAGAAGTGAAAATCCCAAGAAGCAATTAGGCTTGAGAGCATTTTAACAAAGGGTGACAGATTGTGGAAAAGTGACAAGACAAAGGAAAGGATGTTTGGGGCTCTAGAGAAGGTAAGTTGCAAGAAGGTAAAGATATGCAGGAAACTAATGGAAGGCAAAGGCTTTTTAGTGGGGCTGTTATGCAGACTCAGAGCAGTACCATCTCTGTTGATAAGAGTCATCTCCAGTGATTAAAAGTTATTCTCTTCAGGAGATGAAGAGAAGAGAGCAGATACCTTCCCAAAAACCACATGCCCTGCTTTCAGGCAGAGAGGAAGAGAGCTCTGTTTGCTGTTTTTCAAGTGTCTTGAGCTCAAAATAATCCTCATGCCAAAGTAGTTTATTTTCAAATAGGATATTCTGATCCCCTTCACTTCTAAGCTGAACTATTTAATTACCAGTACAAGAGCCTCAAGAACACTTTCCCTCTGACATAATGACCAAAAAATTTCTAGACAACAGCTGATCGGTCAGCTTGGGGCCCTGAGTACTTAGAATAAAAGCAGAGCCACCGCTGTGACCTATAAGGGCATGCAGCATGAGCACGAATAAATATTGATACCCTATCCTAACTCATCGGGCACAACTACCACAGAGAGTCTAGCTTGAAGGAGGAGGGAATTTGGATTGCTGACCTAGGCCTGGGTGGGGGTTATGGGGTGTTGTTTCTAAGTGTAGTGTGTGGCTGAGACTAAAAACCCTCTTTTCACTCAACAGGCATTGGAATAGTATCCACTTCTGCGTAACAAATTATTCCAAAACTCAGTGGCCCATGCACACAGACCACCAAGCCATACAGTCAATACTCACAGGTGGATCTCCCACCTCTCCCAGCTCCTGGGCCTTTCCTCTCCTTGTCTACGGATACACACTCTCCAACACATGGGGATTACAGAAACCATCAGGTGCAAGTCAAGTTGCTGTGAAAGGAAAGGGGGAAAATGGCGGACTGTGTCTCAATGCTTAGAAGAACACATGAGTAAAAGACCAGCATAAAACACAGACATGTGCAAAGGTGTGGGCAGAGAGTGTGAGCCAGCAGCAGGACACACCTGCACCCTTGGTTGGTGGGGTGAACCAGCACATAAAAATGGTGTCTCCCCTGGATTACCCTTTTTCCTCATCCAACCGTCTGCCCACTGATGTTTCCATTGCTTATTTCACACAGCTTCCCAAAGATGTTTTTGACATAGTCGTTTTAACCATCATGCCAACACTTTACCTTTAAAAATATATAAGAAAAAGGCTACTAGAGAAGGTGCTGTCCACTCCCTCCAACCTCCCTGTTAGCTACATCTAGGCCACCAAACATCATCCCAGCAAATCCTAACACACAAATGGGCAGGTCTAACAAGGGCCCTGATCTAATAGCCTAAAATTCAGGAACCAGAAAGAGCTGAACACCAGAAAAAGTCATGCGAGGAGCTACAGCAAGTGATTTAATATTAACAGGCCGACACCCCTCCTTCCCAAGGAAAAAGATGGCAGGTTAGTGGTTCCTCCTGTCCCCAATTCCATGCACAGATAATTGCTTGAGGAAAAATAAACCGGGAACTGCTGGCACATTCTACCCCAGATAGCCTACCACTCCCACAGGCAGTGTTTCCAATCAGGGTGTGAGTGGATGGAGATGATAGAGTTCTTCCCTGGAGACAAAGAGGTATCATTTGTAGAGAAATGGAACAGGGTGCAAAAGGGATGTAAAAAATCATCAAAGTGCTCCCCAGGCAGGGTCAACAAAATAAGTGAAAGCCATCATCTCAAGGTTAAGTCAAGAGAAAAACAGACAGGATGCTATAAATACAGTGTCTCTTTGGGCACCAAGGCATAGATCATAACAGGCCAAGGGCTAAATGGATCACATGGCGGGTGCCTGTCTCAGTCGGGCCCGATGGACTAACAGGCATACAAATATGAAATGCAAGCCTCAGGGCCAGGCCCTACCCTGAGTGAAATCTCATTAAAAAGCACATCAAAGATCAAATGGTGGGAGAACGAAAAGTAAAAAGCAGCAACAGCCAACCTAGGGGGTAAGAAAGGAAGAAAGGAGGGAAGGAAGTTAGTATTATCTGGGAACCATTCCCAGCTACCCACTGTCTGCCTGGCCTTCAACAACTTGGCAGGCTCCTCCTGAGGGCCACGGGATGATCTCAAAACCACTGTGCTTCGAGATAATGTCATAATACAACAAGAACCACCTTGCTCCATGCCAGGCACTGTGCTAAGTGCTCTGTGTATAGTCTCTTCTTTCACTATCCCAGAGGTTAGAGGAGGCAAGTATCATCCATCTCACTTCACAGATGCAGAAGCTGGAGGTCAGAAGAGTTTTTTCACTGGTCCAAGATCACACAGGCAGTAAAGTCAGGGTCTGAACCCAGATATTCCCAGTTCCAAAGCTTATGTTTTTATCCCTGATGCTGCTGCTTCAGCTTTTGTATCACAAGCTACCTGAGCCCTCACCGCCACCACGCTTCATGGCAGCTGGGTCAAAAGTGACAGAAAGCTGCCACTCGCTTTCCATGTCCATTCATCACTAATTAATAATCATGAGTCCAGCTGGGCCTGCACCCCACTGAGAACCCTGCTGAGGGCAGTGCTTGCAAGCAGTCACGGCCAACCTGTCCCCAGGCTGTGGGCACAAACCAAGTAGACACGCTTGGTTAGTACAGTGTCTCAAATGCAGGAGATGGCTGGCATAAAACTGCACAGTAAGGGAAGGACAGTCCTCATCCTCTTGGTCACATCTGTCTCCATTCCCACAGCTGGTTGCCTAGTTCAGGTGTTCCTTATCTCCCCTGGGCTACGCTGTGGCCACAGAAGTCCCAGCACACATCTGAGCAGGCCTCCCTCCAGCTCAGAGTCCTTTAGGGGCTGATCCCGCCCCCAGGATCAAGGGAATCCTCTGTAGCAAGGACCTCTCCCAAAGGAACTCATGCCCCATGGCCACCTCCAGAAAGGCTCTCTCAGTTTATAAGGTTCAGACCAAGGACACACACCAAACTGTTGACACTGATGACTTCTGAAGTTGAGATTAAAGGGATAGGAGGAGGGGCGCCTGGGTGGCTTAGTCGGTTAAGCGTCCGACTTTTGCTTAGGTCATTATCTTGCGGTTCGTGGGTTCGAGCCCCGCGTTGGGCTCTGTGATGACTGCCAGCTCAGAGCCTAGAGCCTGTTTCAGTCTGTGACTCCCTCTCTCTCTGACCCTCCCCTGCTCACGCTGTCTCTCTCTCTCTCTCCTAGAAATAAATAAAAACATTTTTTAAAAAATAGTCTATAAAGGGATAGGAGGAAAGTTGTCAACTCTGTATTGACTCAACTCTGTAATATTTTACTTACCATAAACATCTTCATGGTTATAACGTCATGTTAAAGTCCAAAGGGAATAAACATATAAAGACTAGGAAAGGAGGTCTAATTCTGCGTACCTTCTCACTGTCGCCTGTGTGGATAAGAGCCAGCACGCAGTAAGACCTTACTGCTGAGGTAGATTTCACTCGCACACTCCTTGAAGACAGGGAATTTCTTGTACATCACTGATTCTGTACAGTGAATGCCACAAAGGAAAAGTATCTGGTGAATAAAAGGCATAATCAATGGAATGAGTGTGAGTAAACACAGCCTCCCTAGAAATGCTGTTCACCATATGGCGAAGTCTTGATGTGTGTGATGGCTGTGAGTCTGTGCAAGGGCTAACCAAGTCCGTGGGAGAATTCTCCAGAAAGAGACACAGTTGATAATTTAAATAAGGAAGTCTAGAGTGGTGTTCCTCAAGATGTGATCTGTGAAAGCATACAGGGCCCATGACCCATTTCTTCAGTAAGTATGCAGCACAGATTTAAAAAAAAAAAAAGGTCTCTGAGCACTGGGTGTTGTACGTAAGTGATGAATCACTAAACTCTACACCCAGAACAAAACTGCACTCTATGTTAACTAGCTGGAATTTAAATAAAACTCGTAAAAAGAAGATGAAGAAGAAGAAAAACACAGACTTAAGAAATGTAACAACCCAAAAGAGTGTATGGGTCTTTAGTGGATATTAATAAACTCTAAAGAGACATTCTTGAGACAATTAGGGAGATTTCAACAATGAGTGTTAGAGGATGTTAAAGATTATCATTAATTTTGTTAGGTATGATAACGGTATTGTGGTTGCATTAAAAAGTCCATATTGGATATGAGTGAAATAATGTCTGAAAATTGCTTTAAAATACTCTAACTTAAAAAAATTATACAGGGAAAAACATTGTACAGGGATAAGTAGATGAAACAACATTAGGAAAATGTATCGCTAATTAGTGGAGTCGAATGAACACATATGGAGTTACTTATTCTCTTTTTGTCATACTTTCAAAGATTTCCACAGTAAAAAAAAGTTTTAAAAAATAAATTTAAGGAGGCTCCTAATTTGTATAAGATGTAACCGCTGAACTTCCTTGGAATCACCTGGTACTTGTTCAAATGCAGATTCCCAGGCTGCTCTGACCTGCTGGAGGAGGCAGGGGCCTGAGGCTGCACTCTAACAAGGACGCCCTACCCTCCCTCCAGCTCTCGCACGCCGTGGTTCTGATGAGGACTCCACCGAGGATGGCCATGCACATGATTCTCCAGGAACAGGCCTGATTACACCCGGTGTCCCTCCTTCACTCTCAAGAGTGTTCCAGTTTGGAGGCACCTGGGTGGCTCCGTCGGTTGAGCGCCAGACTTCAGCTCAGGTCACGATCTCATGGTTCCTGAGTTCAAGCACCATGTCAGGCTCTGCGCTGATAGCTCAGAGCCTGGAGCCTGCTTCAGATTCTCTGTCTCCCTCTCCCTCTCTGCTCCTCTCCCCCCCAAAATAAATAAACACTCAAAAAAAGAGTATCCCAGTTTGGACAACAAACTACACAGTAATCCTAGATGAAGTAGCCATGCTCACTCTTCACATGCTGCCCGGACCTGCATGCACTGAACCCCCAATTATCTGCCAAGGCCCAGCTCAAGCACCCCCAAGACCTTCCCTGATGACTCTGGGTGACTCTGCCCTTTAAGCCACAGACCCAAGCCATCAGAGAGTACATCCACCTGGATGGCTGTTACTGTGATATAATAAGAAATAGTATATTTGGTCTCTGTCCCTGGTTCCTGGCACAGACTTCTAGGCCTTTGAAGTTTCCTGAGTGACAGCTGTAAAAGGAGTGTCTTTTGTTATTCATAATAAGCCCCTTTCATCCACATCTGAGTTTATGCTAATGAGGTGACTCTTAGCAGATGGGAGCTGTTTGGCAGATGAACCAACCAACCAGGTGATCAGAGGGTTGGGACTTTCAGCCCCCACATACACACACATACCCCACATACCCCACACATCCCATGCCCCCTATAAGGGAAGGAGGAGGGGAGAAGAGCTAGAGATTAAGCCAATAGATGATGATTTAATCAACTGTGCCTACCTCAATAAAAACTCTAAACCATGGAGTTCAGAGAGCTTCCCTGGCTGGGAAGGCGAAGGTGGCGCACCCATAGAGGGCCTGGAAGCTCCAAGCTCCTTCCCACATACCTTGCCCTACGAACCTCTTCATTCTATTTCTGAGTTGTATCCTTCATAATAAACTGGTAACTGTAAGAAAAGTCTTTCCCTGAGTTCTGGTGAGCAATTATAGTAAATTCTCAAATCTGAAAAGGGGGGTGAGGGGAACCCCAATTTACAGTTGGCGGTCAGAAATGCAGGACGTCTGTTCTGGTGATTGGCATCTGAAGTGGGGGCCGTCTTGTGGAAAGGAGCCCTTCACCTGCAACGGTCCGTGCTAACTCCTCCGTGCTAACTCCAGGTAGTGTCAGAATCGATTTGTAAAAAACCCAGTTGGTATACAGAGAGTTAAAAACTGATTGGCATAGGAAAACCTTCCACACATTTGGTGTCGGAAGTGTTGTGAGTAGCAAAACTGTTTTAATGATCATCCTCAGTTTACATGCCTCTAGCCTAGGAATTCCTTAAAGGTAAGGACTGTGCCTTATTTGCCATATTCTCTTCAAGGCTGGCACAGAACAGATGTCTGATAAGTGCTGGTTTGATGAATGAATAAACAAACAAATGAATTAATAAATAAATGAGAGTCATTGTGCTGGGCACTTCATAAGACATATCTGTGCTAACCGAAATTCTGACTTATCCTAATGATGAAATGTTAGGTAGCTTTAGTTTAAGATAACTGGTGTGAAATTTGGGTAAAATAAGGAGGAAATGGGATACAATATGTGTGGGGGGAATATCAAAACTCTAAAACATATGTGTACAGTAATTATAAAACATGTATGTCTCTTATTATTTTTATGAGACCAAAACCCAAAAGGCAATATGCAAAAGAAAAAATAGTGAGATTCTAGGTGACTATATTTGTATTCCCATGTTCTGAATATTCTTTTTTTTCCCCTATAAGAAAGAAGAAGAGAGAGAAAACCAGAGCTTGGAGTCTGTTTTGGTCTGGCAGTAAATGCAGGACCCCGACTCCAGCACCACACGGCCCCTCCCCAGGGCCCCAACAGAGGAGAAAAAGGCCTACACCAGTTGCCTCTGATGGGGGGAACAGAGGAGATGAGGGGATGGGGGGTGTAGGGGAGGGAGGTGGACACAAATCATTTTTCCACACATCCACAGGTTTCCCCTGGTTGAGTTTAGTAAGACCTCCAACCCCTAAGACAGGAAGTCTTAATAAATATACATGTTCTGCATTCTACATAGGCCCATGTGCACAGAGGTATATAAAAGAACAGAGCGTAAAGTCACTTCATCTGTACTGAGAGCATGCAGGGCTTTCCAATCATCCTGCAAGGAGCCTGCTCAAGTATTAACAGGTATCAATCTAATATATTGTGTGGCAAGCGCCATTATTTTCTTCTCAATCTATTTTACCTGCCACATATCCCAGGGGCATATTGGAAAATATGTGGTAATTATATATTGATAGAACGTGGTAGCAGGTTATATACGGACCCATTGTACTCGGCTTCCTTATTAACCAGCTAAAATGTGCTCTGTGGGATCTTTCGTTGCTCTTTAAGGACTCTCTAGAGCTGAGCTATTATTTTGCTGTTTATGATTTTTTCCTTGCTCATAAAAATTGTTCAGCTTTACCAGAGCCTTACATGTACCAAGCCAAGATGGGGCTTTAAAGCACAATCCCAGTGTTTACCAGAGCCTCACATGTACCAAGCCAAGCTGGGGCTTAAAAGCACAACCCAGGGTCGTCCTCCCTGGCAAGGTTCCCGTCCGAAGCCGATGACTTCCACACAAAGACAAACAACAACCTCACTGGGCTGACTTCCCAGCCCCCTGTATCGTCTCATCAAGGAAGACTTAGTCAGTATGAAAAGTACTAATCAAGAAAGAGTCAGAACACCTGGGTGGCTCAGTGGGTTAAGTGTCTGACTCATGGTTTTGCTCAGGTCATGATCTCATAGTTCCTGAGTTAGAGCTCTGTGCTGACAGCGTGGAGCCTGCTTGGGATTCTCTCTCTTTCTCTCTCTTCCTCTCTCTCTCTACCCCTCCCCTGCTCGCGTATGTGCTCGCGCTCTCACTCTCTCTCTCTCTCTCAAAATAAATACTTTTTAAGAAAAGGAAAAGTCATTGGACCATATTTGTGGGCCTTCAGAACAAATTAGTGTACTTACTTTTTAAGAAGCACAGTAAGCTATGGGTTTAATAGGTTTTCCTCACAAACACTGATGATAGCAGCTCTGAGTGAAGCCACGGGAAACGAAAAATGGGCATCTCTGAGAAGTTTAACGGCCTTTACTTGATTGACTTGTCTGGAATGGTTAAGCAGAGGTAGAGGGAGGAAGGGATGAGGGAGGGATGAGAAAGGGGTAAGATAAGGGAGGGGTGAAGGAAGGATAAGAGAGGAAGAGGGAGGGCTAAGACAGGGAAGAGGGAGAGAGGGGTGAGGGCAGGTTGAGGGACAAATAAAGGAGGGAGATGGAGAAGTGAGGGAGGAGGGGAAGGGGGAGAGAGGGGGTGCCAGTCAAAGACATCTGAGTGAAGGGCAGGTGGAAAGCAAGTGGTGATCCACTTTACGACCGCTGCCCAGGTGATCTAAATCGTGGTTGGTCACTATAAGTGATCTAAATGTACCTCAAATCTAAAAGAATGTGAGAAGGCCATATTATCCACATTTGGTGGGTGCAGCCAAACTGCTTCAAGGTGGTCCTGTCACTCAGCATACACTCACACAGCATTTCCTAAGCACCCATACCCAGCTGGGGTCCAAGGCTCCCCAGCTGCCCTGCCCTCCACTCTCTTGTAGAAAGGCAACAAGCGGCAGGTCACATAGCATAAGTCGTGAAACCTGGGGTCTACTTTCAGTTCTGCCATTCAACTATCAGAATTAGCAGGCTGGCCTTCCGCAGGCCTTGCCTCTCTGCGCCCTTTCCAATTGGAAAATAAGAAGTGGGGGAGACAGTGGATCACTTACATCCCATGGAGCTGTGACAGTCGA